TGCAATGGTTTACATAACCGCATACATTTATTTGCTAATATTTACATAAAATCTTTTTAACAAAATGTGTATCTAGCCACATAAAAGTGTAAGTGAATTTTGTTTATATTTTGTCACACTCAAGCATCTGAAGTTTATGATAGGTGTCTCTTGCATTAAACAGATTTGGCCTTGCTGGCAATTGGCTATCAGCCATTTTTTATGATAATTTGGAAAAACTTTTCTAAGTACATTCACAACACGTATCTCCCTGTTATGGTCAACTGCTATGAGGTCAGATTTCATTTATGCCAAGAATTCTTATTCTACTAAGTGGCCTAAAAATTCATTTCACTAAAAGACTATTTGAAAGTGGAAAAAGATTCAATATTTATGTGGTGGTGGTGTTGAAAAGTTCTCTGCCTAACCAGCTCCCCATACCCTAAACAAGATTATCAAAGATAAAAAAAAAGCAAATAAAATAAAATTGGTCAACACTTCTTCATACAAAGTTTTTTAGCGTCCTTGAAGTAAAGTGAGGGAAGAGGGTTGAATTTTACAAACACGTGAATGGGATAATAATAATAAAAAAAAACCTGGTCAAAGCATTTATTTATCCAAGATAAGGGACCTAAAATGATTTCATTGTCCATGCAGTTATCAAATTCCCATTTGTTTCTTTTATTAGAAATGAAAATGAAACTAAGTTAATGTTTATTTTATAAACCATAATGAAATTGTTTAAACCACTGTCTCCTTATACAGACACAAATTTGTCTATATTATCAATTGGTGACTAACAATATCTAGTATAATTATGCAGTTATTAAAATAATTCATTTTTTGTTAAATCTAACTGGATCTGTGGCTGTTGACAACTCAGATTATTTGGCAAACATGAACCCTTCATGCACCCCCCCCCCCAAAAAAAAAGAGAGTGTTAAAAGGATGATTTTTCCCATGACACCACTTTTATTTTAACTGAATTTCACTCTTCCGGCAATTATTATTTTAAAAGGTGATGATTTGAATATATGAAAGTGAATTTATACATTTTTTTTTGTTCTTGAGAATTTACAACAAAAATATTAAACACTATTTATTTATTAGAGTGTTTATTTACAAGAATAATTTTATATTTACAACTTTCTAAAAACTAATACAATTAAAACTAACAAAATATTTATCATTTAACAATTTATAAAGAAATAAATATGAAAACAACTTTTATTCCTAAAAATTTATATACATTTACTAAATTATTAAAATATGTGAATCCTTTATAAGTAAATCCTTATTTACCATTTTATAAAGTTTGAATCAGTTGGCAATTAGCCAATGTTTTGGCCAACCATTCCAATAAACAATCAAATAGTGTTTATTATTTTTCTTGTCAGTTCTCTCAAGCAAAAAAAAATGTATAAATTTACTTGCATGTGTTCAGGTTTTATTACAATTCTAATCATTGCATTTTAAAACTATAAACATTGCTGAAGAGTGAAGTTAGTTAAAATAAAAGTGGTGTCATGGGAAAAAAGCATCCATTTGAAACTTCGTTTTTTGCAAGCATGAAGGTCCATGTTTGCCAATTATTCATTATCTTTTCTGTTGTAGCATACCTATGGATGATAATGGGTATGTCCCCATTCACATAAATACAGAAGTAAATACTGTATGTTGGTCTGCAGTTGGAGATTCATTGTGGAATTCACTGGATTCACTTCTAGCAGTTGATTACTTCTCTACACACCACTGACAAATCTTATATGTGTTGTTCATGTCCTAAGTATTATCGTTCATTACCAACATTCGTATGATTATCCTATTCAGTAACATTCCCTAGGTTACAACATTTTTACACTCTTTATCTGTATCTTTTCATTCTCTACCTTATCCCTTCTAATCTTTCCTGCCTGTGAAGGTTTTTATCAAAATATTATAGTTAATTTCAAATGCAAAAAAGGAGCAAGGAATTCAAATATTTTTTACCGAGTCTTCTCGTTTTTATTCTGCTTTATTTGGTCGTAAGTGATTTTAATGTAATTGGTTGTGGCGGGGGGAGTACACAATAAACTGAGGTAGAAAATGTAATGGTTGTAAATACCAACAAGCATAATAATAATGATTATTATAGAAATATATCCAGGGACCAGATCAATATACTTGTTAATATCTGCACCCACTTCTTAGAATGAAAGCTCATCTAAAACAAAGGATTATTTAACCTTGTTAATAAAAAATAATTTGAAAATATAAGACAAATATTAACTCTGATTTAAAATTGATGTAATGAATATGCATACACCTGGGTTCCCCCTCACAGTAATATGATTGGCTGGTGTCAGCCATAAATACAGAATGATGTGGAGGTACAGAACAATGCCTATTGCCTACACCTATTGCCTACCACTACAACGAGGACCAGTCCATTACGGTTACCTGCTAGATTGTCCTACTCGGTTACAGTAGTCAACAACCACTTTGCTGCTTTGAACAAATATATCCCTTGCCAGGACATATAAAAAAAAAAAAAAAAATCATAATTTATCCCTATCTCCATCACAAGAGAATTATTTAATTTTTCTTGTAACAGTTAAATGCATAAGGAAATCGGGCAGCAAGGTGTACCAATACACACACACACACAAAAGCCAAAATAACTATTGAATAAAGAAAAGCAATAACATTTAAAGTAAGTTGAAAATTGTCAGCATGTATCAGTGTTCATTTTACACAAGGACCAAAAATAAAAAGCTATTCCTCAAGCACTTTGTCCTAGAACTAAAATGTCATTTTTAGGGTAACAGTTCAATTAAATGTTACCTTGGATACGTGTTCTCTTTCATTATGTTTTCTACTCTCCTGTGACAACAAGAATTAGAAATGTTTTCCAAGGAGGGTAGTAAACAGTAGATTATTTTTGGGGTAACATCTATAAGCCTTTAGATGGCTCTCTTGTCCGCTTCCGAGCAGGAGGAGGAGGAGGTCACCATCAGGCTCGTTTTGTAAATTATTTTTTCCCGAGAATTCTCAACACAACTGCAACAATCTTCTTCTTGATTAACATAATGGCATTGCTAGCCCAGTAAAGATCCTCTACAATGCACATGACCAGAAAGTTAATTTCAGCCGCCCTCTCCACACAAACCCTGATGATAACCAAAGGAACAAGTATAATAATAAATTACAACTCCAAGAAGAGAATGAATTAGAACTTAAAAAAAAAAAAAAAAAATTGAATTTTTAGTGGCAAATACAGGTTCAGTTTCTTCAATAAGACCTTCAATATCTAGCCCAGTAGACATTAATTTCACCATTTAACAAGAAAAGAATAAAAAGATGACTAATACAAATGACAACGTGGGTGACATTTCAGATGACATGATGTCTTTTTGTAAAAACAGCACAGATTTATTTACCCACCACAAAACAACAGTAAGTCACACAGGTGTTATGCAATGACATTAAGACAAATTTAAGCTGCTTTTAAAGCCAACAGACATGTTTTTCATACTGATTTTTATTTTAAATAATTCGTCAGAAAAAAAATTCCAACCCTTCAAGTACAAACATGAAAGAAAAAAAAAAAAAAACTCAAGATGTTATTCAAATTGACATATTGCAAATGGTAATTAAAATTTAGTGCTGGTAAAATGGCTTCATTTTTAACATCTTGAAGTTTTTGAAACGATCTTCTGCCTATATGCTTTCTCACAAAGTCTTATGTGTAAACGTCATGTTGAACTCATGACCTTTGGGAGAGGCAGACAATTAAATCAGCACTAGCATTTTGTAGGTTATATTAAAAAAATAAAGGTAAAAAAAAAAAAAAAGAAGCAACTACAAAAAGGATTGTTTTGATGGATTGATTTGTTTTCTATGACTTATCAGGTTATTTAAAACCAGAAAATATTTTTAGATTGTGAGAATTATTTTTTTTTCTTGAGATAATAATGAATAATGGTTTAATTATACAAGTCTTACTAATTAACCTATAGCTGGGATAAGGGGGAGGGGGAGAAGTAGATTCATACTTTTCCTAAGAGTATTTGTAAGTGGATATTATCAATAATATTCTTCAACCTTTTCCTGGAGAGAGTTATACAGGAAACCCTCCACGATCATGATACTTCTATCTCTATCGGCGATGAAACTTTCTGCAACCTGTGTTTCACAGATAATATTGACTTTATGGTAGGCAGTAACAGTGAGCTGCAAGACCTGACCAACAAACTCGCTGTAAGAGCCAGTGCATATAGAATGGAACTTAATACAGGGTAATCCTAAGTAATGGTGAATAGCACAGGCAACACCAGTGACAGTGTCACCTTGGACAGCGAACCACTGGAGGAAGTGTCCAGCTTCAAATACTCAGAAGCAACCCTGTCAAATGGTGGCACCTGTGATGCAGAAATCTGCACACAGCAGTGATGGAAAGGATATGGAAGAGCAACATCAGTTTCCGAACCAAGTTCAAGCTCTACAAATCACTGGTTGTAGCCATCCTCCACTATGGGTGTGAGACTTGGACACTCCTGAATGAAACAGGAAAAAGGTGATTGAGAACAAATTTTTAAGAAAGCTCCTCTGCATTTCCTACCAGGAGCACAAAACCAATGACTATGTACAGAGCAAGATCAAAAGTCTTGTGGGCCAACAAGAATCTCTCCTCAACACTATTTTGTCAGAAGACGGTATGGTTTGGCCATGTCACACAGCATAACAGCCTCTGCAAGACCATCATGCAAAACACTGTGGAAGGCAGCTGCAAGCAGGGACGGGCAACACAAGAGCTGGTCAGATAACATCAAAGTGTGTATGGACATGACAATGCCAAAACCCCTGAGATCCACTGGGAGGAGGTTGCCTATTTCTTCTGCCCTTACATTCCCCAATGATTGAAGCAGTCAAGGGACTGATGATAATGACAATGAGTTTTATAATAAACCCAACAGGAATTAAAACTGTTCTCCAATTAACAATTCTGAGCCATTACCCATTACACCAGCCACACATCCAAGCTTACAGCACCTGGTATTCCCAAGTAATCACCCATCTAGGTAATGAACTAGTTTGACATTGCTTAACTTCAGTGATTGTATTGGAACTGGTGTTTCAATATGATATGGTCATAAGACTAATATTTTTAAACTTTTGAAAAAAAAAAAAAAAAAAAAAAAGAAAGCACCTTCTATGCTAACAAATAAGGCACAAAATTAATTTTCAAAATTTGCTTGGTAGCTTAAATAGTTGCTTATTTAACAATAGTGTTTGTAGTTGGTGTCCCTATGTATTCTGTAAAAAGCAAGATAAATTTCCAAGACATTTCAAGGGGTATATAATGTCTTCAATGTTAGGAAATATCCTATGCCTTTATAATTCTATTTTTTTAATTCATAAAAATACCATGAAATAAGTAAATAAAAAGCAAGTAACCAAAACTTTTTGAAATAAAGTGCCACCAGAGATGATTTGTGACTTCAAAATCTAATACTGTGGGGTCAAGGACTGCCCCACTCGGAGGATCATTTCCTTGGATTTATATATATTTTAGAAATTGTTTTATCCAAATGATAAGTAGTGTTAAAAAAAAAAAATAATTTCTTAATATGGTTTAAAACGAAAAAAAAAAGGAAAAGAACATATAAAGGAATTGAATAGAATGAGCAATTATCAACATTCTCAAATTTTTCTATAGATTAAAAACAAATACTGTTTAAAAGAAAAACAAAAAAAAACCCCAAAAAAACCAGCAGATTGCCAATGAAATCAAATTGTGAAAAAAACAAAAATCTATATCAAAGAATTTAGAGGATTCATTTTCAATTATGGTCTAGGCAGTTTAGAAAACTGAAAAGAATTGGATTATTCAAACTATCCACTCATCCTTCTTTAAGTCCACAATATTTGTAAGGATTTACAGAAACTTTCTTTCACATATTCACTTAAAAGAGATTATCAAAGTTCAGAACAAAAGTAGATTAATCATCAGATAAAACTGAATAATATTAACAACCACTTATATGATATGTATGTGTTGTTACAAGTATGTTTTATTTTGATGAAAATCTTACTGCTAAATGTTATATATTCATTGATATGGATAGTACAGTGATCTGTTAGATGGCAAGTTAAACTGCAGGAAGTATGAATTTGATGTCTGTGCATCATAGGAAATGCAGTGCAGTGTGTAAAACAATTTGTAAAGGACACAGCAGAGTGGGTTTTCTTCAGGCTGGTGCAGTAAGGGATAATGAGATTAGATGTTTTGTAGTAAATTGTTAAACTTATATATTTATTATGTTAACCATTACTCTATCCTGTAGATTAACCTATCCTCTCACAGAGCCATATGTGTCCACATCAATAAAAATATATCACTTGATAATAAGGTCTCAACTAACATACATATAAATAATATAAACTACATATAGGCATATAAATAAAGTTGGAGATTAATCATGAAGGAAGCATTTACTTTACGCAACAAATATATTTTTCAACATAATCTTCTTTGTCAAGGCACTTATCCCAATGAATCACCTAGATAAAACATTATACAATCAAACTTTCAGAAAATGCATTGGACTTATTGATATACTCTCAAATCATATATATATATATATATATATATATATATATATATATATATATATATATATACACACACACACACATATACATATTTTAAGACATTTTTATGTTTATACATTCTTTTCATAGATAAAAATATTTAAGTAAATGCTCTTGTTTATAATAAACAGTATTAAACAACATTTAATGGCCTGAATGTCCAAGAAATTTTCACAGAAAATATTTGTCCTCCGACAAGAATCGAACCTGTATCCTATACGGAACCGTCATATAGCCTGATGTGCCTTTAACCGATTTGCCCACAGAGGAGCAAATGCTAACCGAATGCTCCTCTGTAGCCAAATCGGTTAAAGGCACGTCAGGCTATCTGATGGTTCCATATAGGAATAGCATAGGCACAGACTATTTTTGGTATTAAAATCTATTGATAAATTATTTGCTTATCCAACTATAAAAGCAAGAAGTCAAATCTGAATTAGAAATAGTTGCAAGTGAAGTCATTCCTTGACTTTCCTTAATACAGATTTAGAATCTCTTGTCTGAAATTCTTGGGACCAGAAGTGCTTTGGTTTTCAGATTGTTTTTTTTTTTGATTTTGGAATACAGGCTATTTTATTTGTATATATCATCTATAAAATGAAGAAGCTTGGGAATGGAACCCAAGTATAAACATGATATCCCTTTACATTTCGTAACAGCTTATACATATACCCTGAAGGTAGTTTTATGTAAGCAGCATATGTTCACTCTGACACTGATGAATCCACTCCATCAATAAACAATCCTGATCATCATTATTTGCTCTGTGCAGTGTTTTTCTATTTTTCATTCATTTCTGTTCATCACTTTAAGCATAAAATTTTAACAATTTCTTCTCCCATTTCCTTAGGTTGTATATTGTTCGTGTTCCAATGCCAAACTCCTTCATCTCACTACCATCCATGCACCAGTCTCCTCTCGCAGGATCCATCTTGCGTACTTTGGCCACAGTTTCTGTTAGCATGCAATGGAGGGAAACATCCTTGACTTCATCATTCCATCCGTTGGTCACTGCAGTCACCTGCCACTTTATGAATGCAGTCGCCACTGAGCCATCCACACACATGGCAATGACCTTCAAGTTTTCCGCATAGAGAAAAGATGCTGCGACAGGTGACGATCTGTCGAACATCTGGGACTTCACTCCCCATTTCCATCGAAGGATGTTGTCCTCCCTCTGCAGGCCTAGGACTTTCAATTGTTCTTTACAGACGAGACTATAATCAGATAAGTGCTGCTGTATGTGCACAGCAGAAGCCAGTTTTTCATTGATAAAAATGTCATGGATATATATTGACGTGGCACTCTTAATTGCCTGATCTTGATTCATTACTGCGTCGATGACAGCTCTCATGATGAGCAGTGCCACATTTAACCCAAAAGCCAATTGTGCAAAGCAAAAATTGCTGACCCTTAAAAACCACAGTCTGAAAGGTCCATAATGCCTTTTGCAAGAAGGCCTTTCTTAGGTTCAAGAGCAATACATTGGCTCCTTATCATCACCATTCTCTAAGCTTCTGCACGTATACATCCGCATTAGCAGTGAATGCCTCCCCAAATTCATTCAATTTGTGATAGTCAAACACTGGCCAAAGTTTCTGCATGTGCTCTTGTTCAATCACCATCAAAGGAAAAACCATTGGGTGGGCCAATCTCTTTTTCGGAATACGGCAACAGCCATTCATTATGCTGCCACGATAAGAGTTCTTTCTTGTATGCATCCCAAGCATAATTGGGCACTGTGTATTCAGGCACCTTATTTTTCAATTCACCAGGTGTGTGACCACTTGCCCATTTCCATCGGGGGGCCCACACCTTATTATTTTTGTTGAATGCCATGCTAAAGTCAGGCTCATTGATAGAAATGGCAGCACACACCGGTTTAGCTTTCCATCAGGAAAGTGCACTTCACCTGATCTGGTGAAGTGCATACCTCTGAGCTCCCTGATTATGTTAATCCTGATAATAAGATCATATCCCAACAATCATCTATCAATGATCATCAGGGCCTCAATAGTCACAGAATGAGCCTGTGCGATGCCCAACTTGATTTTGCTGCACCCATGGCACTCCAAGGTTCTCCCATAAACTGTTAATACTTCCACTTCTTTCTGCCTCCAAAGACTGCATACAGCTCTGCTCACCAGCATCTGTGAGCACCCAGAGTCAACCAGAGCAGCACACTTCTGTCCATTGACAAATACCTCTACAGCAGGCAGTTCCCATTTCTGTAATTGTTTGGGAAGAAGACTGGCACTGATGGCCTCTTCCCTCAGGCCTTTCCCTGATATGTGCACTCTGATGATATGTGCCCGATCTTGTTGCATTTAAAACACTGTATCTTCTGCTGGGTCCTTCATGCTTGATTATCTGTCCCTTGCATACAGTCTCTGGCCATATGGTTAGGACCAGAGCACCCATGGCAAACAACAGCCTCTCTGCATGAATTAGTGGGAAGAACTTCCTTGTCTCTACGCATTTGTTGAGCAGACGTGGCGACCGATTCTTTGTGCTCTTTGTCATCAGTCATGATAGCCTGAACCCAGGTTAGCAACTGCTCCACAGTCATAGTATCCATCGTAGATGACGCCCTGAGAAACTAACATGCTGTGGTAGACCGGATACAAATGTGCATGCCATCCAACATTCAGGCAGCAATCCTCCTACCAGCTGAGCCAGGCAATGTAACTCGGCCAAAAATTCATCTACTGTTTCATCCTGTTGAAGTCATTGCACCACGAATTGGTCAAATGCATTGAATGCATTTGTTGCATATGCGGTCATAACGGCCCATTTGATCTGTTCCAAATCTGCCTTTTGCACCATACTCAGTTGCTGACACCCAGCGAGAACACGGCCTCACAGTCATAGCAGCAAGACATGCTCGATTTGTCCATGGCACAAAGTGTGCAGACTAATTTTCGATCCATTCTATGATCGGCAGGTCAATTGTGGCACTGCTGTACTCTGGAATCAGCTGGATATCAAAGGCCTTGTCCAATGTCATGGAAAAGAAGAAAAAAAACAATGGCCGAAATAACTTCTGTGAAAATTTGTCAGAAGCACACACAGGAAAAGAACAAACTATATGCAAGTCCAATAGATCCACTTGGCAAAACAAATACACAATTCTCTCCACATCTCAATTTCAAATACGCCACTTCTCGTCAGAAGCAAGCCCCATCTTGAATGAGTGTACTGTGCTTTTATGTACCTGACCCAGGCATCGCTCAGCCAATGAACATCCAGAACCAGCCAATAAAAACATGTACCAGTAAAAATGGAATATCTTCCTGGAAAATGGTTGATACTTTAATCAACAAGAATTTACTATCATGGAAATTGAACCTTCAAGTCCATCTCATATCAGTTGATAATGAACAGTGACCAAATAAATAATAATAATGAAAGAAAATGGCTTAAACAGATTAACAAACAGTTCTTTTACACACATAAGATCTACACATATGACAAAAATGAGTATCCATATATATTTCTTA